TAGATATATATATATATATATATATATATATATATATATATATATATATATATATATATATATATATATATATATATATATATAACCGCATTCATATTTGTCGGATGCCGATCAGATATATCATATATTTTTATCTGTCTGTAAATTCTCGAAGTCAAATTGATCTTTATATGCCGTAGTATATAATTTTTTTAATATATTTTATTTAATTGCAATTTGTTATGAAGTAGTAGTATTTTTCTTATTTTTTTGTAAAATATACTATTTACAAAAACAACATTTGATAAAAAAAATATTACATATTCTAAACATATACACGTATTTGTGTGTCTACACATATATTTTAGATATAGAAAAACTTATACTCTGTGATTTTAATAGAAAAATAAAATATAAAAATAAAACTTTGGGAAAAACTTTACGAAGTATATGATGAATCGGATATATAAATAAACGACTACTCAAACGGAGCTAGTATAAAAATAAAATATAAAAATAAAAGTTTAAGAATAATTGATTAATATCTCCAGATATGGAAAACCTAAGAAACTCCTGCTACTTCAAATGGGCTTGAGAATGCTGATTTCGCTAGTCAGCGGAAGCTTATTTAATACTCCGTACTCCTTCCGTCCCACAAAACTCTTCTCCTTTTCTTTTTTCATCCGTCCCAAAAAATACTTCCCTTTTTCTATTAAAAAATCACTTTTATCCCTAATAATTCTTAACATATCCTCCCCTTAAATTCTTTAAAATTTAAAATGGAAAGTTTTTTGCGGGACGGAGGGAGTACCTAAATTTGTATACCTGTGTTGTCCCCATTATCTTTCTTTATCTTTTGTAGTTTTTAAATTTAAATTTTTTTATTTATTTTATTTTTTCTTTTCTCCTTTCTTGTTTAAAAAATAATGTTATGCAATTTTTCTCTTCTCAACAATTTTAATCATTTTATTTTCTCAATTTAATAGTTTTTAAATATTGTTTTACATTTTTCTTGATCTCTTTGAAGTTAAAATAATTTTTTTAGATGAAACGAGTATATGACTTTATATCGTATATCATATTTTGTGATTTCTTTGTAAACATATTTATGTCTGTAATTTATTTTCAAATTTCTTTCTCCAAACAGTTCTCATTTAGTTTTTTAAACTCATATCATTTCTTTCAGATTTCAAAACTTATATCTTATCATATCTTTTAAACTTAACAAACGGGCCCTAAATCTTTATATGAAAGTTAAAAAAATACTCTGGATTACTTTATGTATATGGCCCTCAACTAAAATTCAGGAGATCCCATCTAATTAGGTTAATTTTTGGATTTTGTTTAATTCATTTAATAAAATGTACTTCATATTTTATTGTGTATTAATTGTATATAAAATGAAATTTTGAATTGCCTATTAAAAAGATTTTCAAAATTGAAATAAAATTTATTTATTTTTGTCAATTCGTTTTGCATATTTTAAAAAAACATTAGGACAATGCTCTCGGATCCCCAATATGTGGTGCCCCAACTGTATGAATCTGCCCATCCAGTAAAGGTTGTGGGATGCATGTTGCTGGGATACACGAGCGGTAAACAAAGACACGGGTTGGTTCTGCAGCGGCGAGAAGCGAGTATACATACCTCACTTTGGATGATGGAATATATATTTTTTATTTCTATACTAGCTTTAGTATTTAAAATTGACTTAAGAAGTGAAGACATTTTTGCGCATTGTTTAAAAAGTGACATCTATGAGAGACAGAAAGAGTATAGAGAGTAGATTTCACATTTTTTCTCACTAAAAAAAGTGGCAGTTTTATTTTTTTAAATAATCAAAGTAGAAAGTAGAAACACAAGTTTAGTTTTAAATCAGAAACATTAAAAATTAGAAAAAAACTTTGGAGAATCCAAATTGCACCCAATATTAGATTTGAATACAATCCGGGATAGACCTGGCAAATCAACCAGAACCGATTACCCGAACTGAATTATCCGAAACGAAAATCGAAATTATCTGAAAAATGAAGATCCGATCTATAACTGAAACCCGAAATGATCCGAATTGAACTGAAATCGAACTAAATAATTCATATTCGATTTAAATCCAAAACCGATAATATCCGAATTCATTAAACCCGAAATCAATTAGATCCAAAACCGATAATACCTGAAACTGATAGAATCCAAACTCGATTAGAACTAGTACCGATAAATTCGGAACTGTGTTTGCCTTTCAATAAGCATATTGTGTTTTTAAATTTTTTTACTTTTATTTTACCATTTGAACTAATTACATTAATTGCTCATTTCCTCATAAAATGGATTACCATCTTGAAAAAATATTACAAAATCTCATGCTTTAAATTTATTATATTTAGAAGTCAAAGATAAGTTATACCTATAAAATATTAGATGAAAAAAGTAAGCCAACTATATCGTTATTAACAAAATTAAAGGGAATAAAATATTTGAAAAACAAGATGAAGCACCAATTGAAAGAAAGTAGGTCTAAGAGTTGAAGGTAAGTGAAAATTGAGAAACGTGTTGAATGGTTGATAAGATTAAGCAAGGAAAATGAAAAGAAATGGGGGAAATTTTGAGCTTTAAGGGGGAAGATTTGATATAAAAAATTAAGTCTTTGATTAGATATTTAATAAAAAAAATACAGTACGAATTTTAGTCTTAAGTTAAAAAATCTAATTAAAACAATCTTATTTTGAAGAAAAAACACCCTCCATCTCAGAAAGAGTGCTACATAACGCAAAACAAAACAAAAATTTTATGTTTTTTAAATTTATTTTATTTAAAGATTGGTATAGAAATAAAAAAGTTTACATATTTAAAAAAATGTCAAAAGTTTTAAAATATAAGATGTTACAAGAATAATAATTTATTATATCAAATAATAAATGATAACGCACAAACAAATGAAATTTTTGTAATTTTAATTTTAAATAGTGATGTGTAATATTCTTTTTGGGACGAAAGGATTATATGATGAAAGGTATGGATTAACTAGATTTTATTCTTATTTCATCCAATTACAATAAATTTTATTTGTTTGGGAGTTAATTTGATTAGTTTCAAACCAATCCACTCAATATTAGTCAATAACATTAGATGTTACTCTTATCGTTTTGAAAAGACTCCCTAGCGACAACATTTAGTGTTATCATATTCAAATTTGATCTACACCATTACATTTAGTGTTATCATTTAGTGTAAAATTAATTACATTTGACTCTATTAAATTTAATTTTATTTAATTTCAACCAAATACACTCAAATAATTAATAAATTTTGCACTCAATTGAATAGAATTCACTTAATTTCTCCCAATTTCACTCATTTTTTTACCAAATTGTATCCAATTGGAGCGTAACACTATTTTTACAAAATTGTATTCAAAACTAAATTTTAAAATCAATTTAATTACATTAAATTTATATCATAACTAAATATATATTTTTTCATAATTTGTAGTCCGAATTTGTAAAATATGACTAAAAAGTCAAAAATAGAAGATTATTTAGGGTAGAGATAAAATAATTAGAAAAAAAATATAAAATAATATGAGGTATTGAATTGATGATAGATTGATAAATGTGATAAAACATAAAAAGAAACATGGATAATTAAATTTTTAATTAGAAAAAATATGCATCCAAAATATATTTGATTGAAATATATTCAAAGTGAAACATATCCAAAACCGAAAAATATCCGAACCGAACTAGATCCAGAACCGGATATATCCGATTCAAAATGTATCTGAACTGAAAACTATCCGAATCGATTTATATTCGAACCGTATCTGAACCGACTCGAAACCAAACTGAACCAAAAAATGTATAGAATCGAATCAAATTCGAATTGAAATCAAACTCATCCGAACCGAAGCGAACTGATTATAACATATACTCCCTCCGTCCCAAAAAGTTTATTACGTTTAGAAAAAATTGTGTCCCGTAAAGTCCGTTACATTTCTATTAAAAAACCACTTTTACCCTTTATTTTTTCATGCCCTACCTATCACATCATACCTTTTTCTAATAATCTACTCATCACATCCTACTTTTACCCATCACATCAAGGGTATTTTTGGAAAGTCAATACCAAAATATCACTCCCTTAATTTCCCAAAAAGTCAAACCGTCTCATTGTTTTTGGGACGGAAGGAGTATTTGAAAGATATTCGAACCAAAAAAATCCAACCTGACCCGATTGACACTTCTAATCAGGGATATTAGAACATAGAATACTCTTTCATGCCTATAATATCTATAGAAGCATTGACATTAAAAATTGGTCCAACTCAAGATTCCTGAAGTATGGTTTTAGTAATTAATGGCAGCAGTGTATTGGTTTGACCATTTACTTTAAGGGAATGATAATGTCTTGAAAGTTGTTTGACACTTTACTTTAGGGGACTTGACACGAAAATGTGATTTAACTATGGGGCAGAATCACTATCACCATCTGCATCTCAGTAAAACAAATACTCCGACGGAAGAGTGGGGGAAGGGCGAAATCCTAAGGATATATTACTGCAATCCAACCGTCACACAATCCGTACATTAGCTGTCAGCTTCTCTTGTGGACAGCTAATTGCTTTCTACAGTGACCCATCAAACGAGGCCCTCTGGCTTTCACACTTCTGAACGACTACTACTTTGGCTTTGGGAGAGAAAAAGCAGATTTGGAGCAATAACCACAAGGTACGTACGACAAAATTAATAGACTCTTTACGAGTCAAAAATTTCGAACATTTTTATTTATTTACTCCCTTGTCCCAAAATGTATGTAAGATTTCGAACGACGTGTAAAATATTATTTTTGTAAAAAAACTTTTTTATTTATAAATTAGTAGAGAAATTAAATAAAAAACAAAAATTATATTGTTCAAAAATAGATTAAAATTTTGATAAAATAAGATATGACAAGAATATTTAATTTTATCAAATGGACAACTTGAACAAGTAACAAACAAAAGTTATCGAGAAGCCAAAAAATTAACGGTTGCTTCTTTTTTGGGACGGAAGGGGTATGTGTTTTGATTGATAACTACTCCGTAAAATAAGTTTTTTTATTTGATTTTAAAAGTTATACAAATCTTTAAATAAAGTAAATTAAATAAATTTTGAAATTTTATTTCGTCTTTCGTAAAGTGTAAAACATTTTATGATGGAGAGAGTAAAAACTTTCATTGACGGAGTATAATGTTTGATTAATTATATTTTAAACTTAATTTATATATAAAATAATATTAAAATACAATAAAACTAATAACTACATCAAAAATTTATAAAATAAGTGGTGAAAAAATTATGCTCACTCCATCCTAAAACCGAATGTTCATAGTTTGACTTCTTTAGTCAACTTCATACACATTTGACCATTATTAATTGTATATTGACAAATATTTTAGAAATTTGATACGGAATATATTGAAACTAAATCAAAAATTGAAGTGAAAGTAAGATGTGATGTGTTAAAGTAAGATGTGATAGGTAGATTATTAGTAAAAAGGTATGATGTGATAGGTAGGGTATGAAAAAGTAAGAGGTAAAAGGGGTTTTTTAAGGGAAAAGAGAAGTTTATTTAGGGACAAAGAAAAAACGAAAGAGGAACTTTATTTAGGGACGGAAGGAGTATATGAATATGCAATATAAATTGAGAATTTTAATTGTCCTATTTAAAAATATTAAATTGAACATATAAGTGACACGGAAGTAATACTTAAGTTGGGAATACCATTTTTTATTTTTAAAAAAGGGAACTGACCTTAGTAGGGCATTTTTCTCCCCTTTCCTTGGCGATGTTCTGAACCTGCATCAAGAATTCTCGGCATTGTTCGTACAAGTGGAACAAGTAATCCAAGCCGTTCTTTTTCCCACGCGCCACCTCTCCCGGCTCCGTCACGATGAATGGATGTTCCCTCTGCCTCTCGCTAATTACCCCGTCATCTTCCTCATTATCGTTCCCTTCCGTATCGTAGTCCTCCTCCATCGATGCCGCTGCGGTTCTCGACCCCTTTTTACCCGCACAATTCTTCCTCATCCTCCTCTGTTTCGCCTTCCCGCTCGTGACCGCCACCACATCCCAAGTCCCTCCACCACCGCTCCCCACCACTTCCTTGTCATGCGCATGCACCCCTTCCTCTGACAACCCTACGCCAACCCAATTTCCATAAAAACATGTTTATCCAACTCACAAACGAATCATGAATCATTATTTGACTAAATAATATAGGGAAGAATTTTGAATCTCAATTAAATACAAGTAGTAATTTATACTACTCCCTCCGTCCCAAAAAGAATGAGACGGTTTGACTTTTTGGGAAATTAAAGGAGGGATATTTTGGTATTGACTTTCCAAAAATACCCTTGATGTGATGGGTAAAAGTAGGATGTGATGAGTAGATTATTAGAAAAAGGTATGATGTGATAGGTAGGGTATGAAAAAATAAAGGGTAAAAGTGGTTTTTTAATAGAAATGTAATGGACATTACGGGACGCAATTTTTTCTAAACGTAATAAACTTTTTGGGACGGAGGGAGTATTATAAAGGAGATGTTATTATATTTATTTTGTTAATAAGTGTTAGAACTTTATTCTATTAACTAATATGCAACACACACAGATTATATATATATATATATATATATATATATATAGGTTGGTTTCCGTGAGAATCACCTTGTGGAGAGAAATGAGAATAAAATCTAGCCAGAACTAACACAGAGAGACCTAATTTTGATACAATCATGATCCTTAGATTTCACAATCTAAAGTACCAAATTCATTCTCATTTCTCTCCTAAGATCGCATTCTCACCAGAACTAACACAGAGAGAGACCAAATTGTGATCAACATTATGGAAAAAATTTACTCCTTCCGATCTTGAAAACTTTTCTTTTTTGACTTTTTTGGGTCAAATAGACATACTGTTTGACCATTAATTAAAAATAATCTACAAAAATAAATGATATAAAATTTGATGTATCAAAACTATATCTTAAGATGAATCCAGTTATATTGAATTTATATTATAATTAAATATACTTTTCTCATATTTTATGGTCAAAGTGTATTATTGCTTGACCAAAAAAAATCAAAACTTGAAAGGTTCTAAGATCGGAGGTAGTATTGAGCTGTCATATTAATGTAATACCAATGCTTTCATTTTGAAACATAGTTTTAAAATATAATATTTTTATTATCGATTGTATTTATATAAATAAAGATATTAATGATTAATGTATTGTATGAAAATCGTAAAATAATAAATGACAGTAAAGAACGGGATGGAGGGAGTACTTCAATTCCTTCATTCGTATTAACAGTTTTATTTTTTTCTTTAGTTGCTCGCAAAATAGTTGTTATATATTCTTATTTTCTTAATAAATAAAAAATTTATTTCATGTAGGATTAGAAGGTAGTACATTTTGCTCAATAGGAGCAAGCTTATGAATGTTTTATTCACTTTATGACACATTTTCATATGATCTGCCATATATGTCATGTTAACAAGTGTATATATGCCATGTTAACAAGTGTTGAATAATGACTGATTATACGAATGACACTACGAATGTGATCTTTAATAACAAATATTGAATAATGACTGATTATTTCAATGACTATATATTCAAATAATTTTTAATAATTTCATATTTTACTTGAATTGTATAATAAATCATTTTTTCAAAGGCATGCCATTTTAGTCTTTCCATTGTCCAATGTTAGAGTAATAAGCCGGTCATATTTAGAGAAAAACTGATATTTTTGAGTCACATTTGTGTAAATTACCCATGTTATATATGCTCTCTTAGCCCAAAAAGATTTTTCCTATTCGTACTCATACAGTTAAAATTTTACTACTTTTTGTGAATAATTATTCTCTCTACATATATGATAAAATAATTTAGTCTCATCATCTCATGTTTTATTAAACTTCTCATATATTTTATACATATTTTCAATTTATTTTTTTAATTTTAAAAATAAATACTCCCTCTGTCCCTGAAAACATTTCTCCTTTCTTTTTTCATCCGTCCCAAAAAACACTTCTCATTTCTAGTAAAAAGTCACTTTTACCTCTTACTTTTTCATACCATACCTATTACATCATACCTTTTTACTAATAATCTATCCATCAAATCATACCTTTACCCATCACATCAAAGGACATTTTTGGAAATTCAATACCAAAATACACTCCCCTTAAATCATTCTTCAAAATCAAAACTTCCATGTTTTTCGGGACGGAGAAGGTATAGTTTAAAATAATTTCACTTATTTTGGATCCATAACCGGTAAGGGAGATGGGTGTGTATATATATGAATAAACAGATAAAATTAAACGAATAAGGTTGGATTTTAAAAAAGTGAAATTTGCACTAAATAGGACTAAAACATAATGACTTTCCTAATGTAGAACTTAAACTTTTTTATTCTCTAAATAGGAGTTAATAATGACCTAGTGGAAAGAATAATGTCCTGTAATCATGAACATTTAGTTGAATAATGACTACTTGATAATGACCAAAGGTCCTAGATTGGGAAATAAAAACATATGGTCCTATATTGGGAAAGTCATTATGTTTTAGTCCTATTTAAGTAAATTTCTCTTTAAAAAAACGTTTCAGGGATAGTCAACAAGTCCAAGTGACTAATTTAAATTTTAAAGTCTGCGACTAGTCTAAGGATTAGACCTACATTCAATGAAACAGTACGGATACGGTATATCCTGCCGAGGGGTTAATTTTTGTTCACTCAAGCTTGAGAAATCAGTTTCTGTAATTTGTCTAATGCCTCATTAGTAATGATGACGTACTAGTTGATTAGAGGAGTGAATGATATGAATGAATGAAGAGAATAAATAATGAGACAACCTTCTTGAGAGAGAGCATCGAGAGAGTTGGTTCCGTCGCCAGAGAAGAGATGGCGCCGGCGTAACTCCTCCTCCTCAATACGACGGCGCTCGGCCCTGATGGCGGATTTGATGCCGTAGCGCTCGCCCACAAGTAGCTCCCACCGGAAGATGTGGGAAAGGCTGGTCATCATGTCGTCGATCTCCTCTTCCTTCATGTCTAACAGCGTGTTCACGGTAAAGCCCAGCTCCGCTATCTTGGCGGCGGTGTAGTATCTTATACCGTACGCTTGGAACAAGTCCTCCAGCCGTCCCAGTCCTAGCTCCGGCCGGTTCCGCACAGCAGACGACTGGTGAGCGGCCAACGCCGCAGCAGCAGCATGAAGGTGCGTTGGTGGCTGTGGCGCCGCCCCGGCTTCTAGGAGTCGGCTTGGAGGGGGCATTGCGGCTCTGGGGTCCCACTTGAACACGCTCGAGGAGGAAAACACTTCTGGATCCATATTTTCCTTTCCTGTTTCTGAACGACTGCGTAGGGGTGGTGATGACAAGGGTTGCTTTCTTCCCCCTATATACTCCGTAAATTGAAGACTCTACCTAGTCACAACTTGTTTGTCCTTTTCCTTCATTTTTTGGGGGTAATTTCCCTACATGTGTAAACTCATTGCTTTATCTTCCTTTATATGTAAATTTAATATACACTTTCCCAAATAATACCAAACGGATTTGCCTACTTGTAGTAGGCTAATCCGTGTTATTCATTGAATTATTGAACGGAGTTGCCTACTCCATTTACCTATTTGTTCCAAATTTGTTTCCACTTTATTCTTCCAAATGGAGTGTCTTGCTTGTTCCAAATTCTTTTGTTCCAATTTTTTTGTTCGAATTTTTTTTCTTCAAATATTTTGTTCCAATTACAATTTTCTTATTGGTTGTTTTTTGTTTCAATTTTTTTTTGCTTTTTAAACCTTTCTATCTTTTTTTAAAAATATTTTAATATTACTCCGTCCCCAATTTGATTACAAATTATGGGTTACGAAGTAAAATTTTCTACTTTTTGAAATCATTTTATTTACAAGTTGGTATATCAATAAGATATAAAAATTACATATTAAAAAAACTACATCAAAAGTTCTACAAAACAGGAGGTGATAAGAATATTTTATTTTATCAAATACTTAATGAAATCACGTAAACAAATACAGAGTAAAGTTATCGAGAGGACATAGAAAACAATTGTAATCTATTTAAGGACGGAGGAAGTATTATAATTTTTAGTTTCTGAAAGAAATCGATTAATTTTTGTTACTTAGAAATTATTTATAATAAAATAATTATAGTGAGTTTGACTTTATAGTCAGCATCTTCTGGAATTTTTGGACATATCAGGATACTTATGAGTTCACTTGTTAACAATTTGTCGTCCTTGCCTCTTGTGTAATCTGGTCTGCATTATCATACATGCTCATATACATTACCAAAAAAGTATAGTAATTTGCACATGTACACTGTCACATTACAACATGGCCAAGTCACATTACCACAGTGCAAAGTCCTATTTCGGGAAAAACAATATGAAAGTCCTATTTTTGTATTTTTTTTCTATGTTTTAGTTCTATTTAGGATGATTTCTATAAAATGTATTAAAGAAACACCTTGGTTCCCATGACATTGGGAACCAATGTCATGGGATGACCCGGGGGCACTCCGGTGCCCTGTTCGTAAAATTGACGGTTCCTACTCCCCTTAACCCCCCGGTAAACCCCCCACCCCGCCCCAACCCGAACGCACCCCCCCACCCCTTTCAATTGCACCCCACAAGTTGATTTTGACTTTGGAGTCAAATTTTGACTCCAAAGTCAAAATCAACTTGTGGGGTGCAATTGAAGGGGGTGGGGGGTGCGTTCGGGTTGGGGCGGGGTGGGGGGTTTACCGGGGGGGTTAAGGGGTAGGAACTGTGAATTTTACGAACGGGGAACCAGAGTGCCCCCGGGTCATCTCATGACATTGGTTCCCAATGTCATGGGAACCTTGCCCTTAAAGAAAAGGAAAATACTAAAGATAATGGCTACCGGTAAATTGTTTACATACATTACTGAAATAAACAAGTAAACTTTACATACATTTATATAAACAAAGTTTTACATATATTGGTCATTTACTCAATTATACTACCTCTATCCCGCTATATTCGTCCACTTTTGACTCTCGAAACTGTTCATCTAAGCATTTTAACTCATCAAATTTTCTTAATGTGTAAGCCTAAATATAGTCATGTATGATCTTGTTTGATTTGTCTTAACATATAAATTATTAATATATAATTTCTATAATTTTATAATATACAAATTACAAAATAAAATTGATTAAAGAAGTGTATTAAATGATCTGTAGAAATGAAAGTGGACAAACACTCTGGGACGACAGGAGTAGGGATGTAAACGAACCGAATCGAATATTCATGAAAAATATTCATATTCGTTAAGATGGAGTGATATTCGAATTCGAATTCGGTTCGAATATTTTTTAAGATTCGTATTTCGGTTCGTTTAATATGTTAAACATATTCAGTTCGTTTAAATATTCGATTCGTTTAAATATATTCGGTTCGTTTAAAATTATTCAGTTCATTTAGATTTTAAAATATTTATAATCATTATATATATATATATATATAAAATTTATATAATTTATATAATTAGATTTATATTCCGAATATATTTGTCAAACTCACGAATCGAATACCCTTGATTCATATTCGTATTCGATAAGGATTCGAATATTTATTCAGATTCGTATTCGTATTCGGATTTGAAAAAATCGAATACGAATCACCTTAAACGAATACGAATCACGAATCAAACAAAAAATATTCGATTCCTTTACGTCCCTGAGTATGCATAAAAGGAAAATATTGTATTCTTTACAAAACAACACAACAAAAAAAAGAAAATAAAAGAAAAAGCAAGGAAAATGGGTGGATGGGAATGAATTATTTAAAGGGAGTGAGATTTCTTATTTTTGGTGTCAGCGTAGTAGCCTAGTAGGGATGAATCATGAGATAGAGATAAAATGGGTGGGAATAAAGGGTTTGGCTTGAACGGATTTAGTTACTCCGTATGAGTATTTTGTTTGTTTAGTAATAAATAAAATAGACACGGAGTAGGGAACTCCGTTTTGTTAATTAATTCTAAGGAGAAACGGAGTTACGAACTCCGTATGGCACTACCAGTAAAATTTTTTCTGACTTGCACTATCAGGAATGCAATATTTTCTTTTTACATATACTGGTCATTTACTCATTTTTTGGTTGAACATATCTCCCACAGTTACGCGATTATTTACTGAGCAAAATAGAACTAAAATGTTGAAAATATATTAACAATAGACCTGGCAAAAAATGACCTGACCTATTTTTGACCCGAAACCCGACCTGAAAACACTGGGTTTTGAACAAAGGTTTTGATGACCGAAGCCGAAGTTGACCGAATCTGAAATGACCCGCTAAAAATGGGTCAAACCCGACCGAACCTGAACCCAACCTGACCGACCCGCTAAAGTAAGAATTTTTCAAAATCATACACTTTACTACTCGTTTTTAGTGTACAAATTTAAATTTTCAGATAAAATTTTAATGATATTGCATAATTATCTTACTTTTTCCCAAAACTTAATCATTTTTAAATTTCTTATATTGATTTATATATCTAAAAATTACTTCAGAGTTTAAAATAAAATTATTTTATAGATTTAATACAACTTTTTGGATATTTTAAATTTATTTAATAGAAAATGTAAGTGTTAATGTGAACTTAAACTTTTAAAAACCAAAGTCATAACCCGTTGGGTCGACCCGAACCCGACAATACTGGGTCATGAACATACAATTCTCAACCCAAACCCAAAATAACCCGAACTTGAAGTAGGACTTCAGCTCTAATTAAGAAGACTAATAAAGAAGACTTTCATATTTTTATTCGTGAAATAGGACTTAAAATATATTTATATTACCAAACATGGTCATGTAAATTACTCCCTCCGTCCCTGAAAACCTTTCTTCTTTCTTTTTTCATCCGTTCCAAAAAAACACTTCTTATTTCTATTTAAAAGTCACTTTTTAATTACCCCTTACCTTTTCATACCTTACCTATCACATCATGCCTTTTTACTAATAATCTACCCATCAAATCCTATTTTTACCCATCACATCAAAGGACATTTTTGGAAATTCAATACTAAAATACACTCCCCTTAAATCTCTTCAAAATCAAAACATCCCATGTTTAAAGGGACGGAGGGAGGACTAAATAGTATAATAATGTGCACATATACAATGCCACATTACAACCCCATCCTATTTTTGGAAAAAAACATTAAGGTCATATTTTGGCATTTTTCTCTATGTTTTAGTCCTATTTAGCGTGACTTCTAATTATTTATCGTTCTATGCATCCAAATTTAATTGTCTTAATACAAATCACCCGAAGTAAAATATAGAGAAAAATGTTAAAATAATAGTTTCATATTTTAATCTCTAAATTATGAGCTCGCATTATAGTAATTTGCCACTATATATTGACATTTCAACATATACTTTTTGGCATTATACATTGGCATGATTATTATCTTATATACTCCATCCTCTCACAAAACCTCTCTCTTTTTTTATCCGTTCTAAAAAAATCTTTCTCATTTCAATTAAAAGTCACTTTTACCCATACTAATTATTAACCTACATATCATACCACACTTTTTCACTATTAATCTACGTACCCATGACATCTTGTAACACCCTAACCCGCATAACCCAAATCAATGAGTTAGCGAATCAGGTTGTCACTAAATTTGGTATTCACATGCATAATATTTTAAAACATTTAAAATGAAACATTCATTCATATTAATTTATAACAAATCATTGTTTAATCAAAGAAACTAAAACAAACGTTTCGGAAGTTTTTGAAAACAACATTCAACATTCTTGTAATTTAAATAAACAATTTCAATAAAATATATTTAATGTAGATTAAACAGCTTCAGGCCATCCACCAGCATCACGCTCCATCACTGTCCTCCAGCCCGCTCCTCATCCAATCCTTGATTCCTACATGTAAAAACACGAACACTATGTTTGGTTCAAGGAATTTAAAAGGGAAAAGAAAAGAAAATGAAGTAGAAAACTGTTTTTCTTGTTTGGTTAGAAGGGAAAAGAAAGGAAAAGTGAAAGGAAAAGAAAATGAGAAGGCAAAATGTACCAAGTGGAGGGAAAACCAAATTCCTTCCATTTTGGTGAGGAAAATGAGAGAAAACAATTTTCTTTTCGTTTCCTTCCAAATTCCTTGAACCAAACATAGTGGAAGGGGGAAAGTATCTAACACTAGAACTAACTCACATCTAATACCCAATAATATATAATCACACAATATCATAAGAATCAGCAACGCTATTATTAATGAATATCATGACACTACTACAAAAAAGGCAGATACACTACCTCAATTGCACCGCCAATTTAACAAACTGATGCAAAAGATCAAAGGCATCAAAAAATTTAATTATATAGGTCGTGTCCTTTTTGCCAAATATAATCTATAAATGCATCAGATCAGATCAAATTAGATCGAATTAGACCAAAACAGATAT